CCGCCGACGACGACGACGACGGACAACGAGGACGACAATGGGCGATTTGACGAGGACGACGTGGAATGCGTCCCTTCCGCGTCCCTCCCTCCCTCCCTCCTCCTCTTTCTCCCTCCCTTTCTCCAGCCCACCTCCCTTCATCCCTCCTTCCCTCACTCGTTCTCCCTTCCTCCTCCCTCCCTCCTCTCCTCCCTCCCTCGCCTCCTGCTCTCCTCCCTCCCTCCTCCCTCCCTCCTACCTCCCTCCCTCACTCTTCCTCCTCTCACTGCTCCTCTGCTGGCTCGCTCGCTCGCTCCTCCTCCACCTCCACCCTCCAAGAACTCGGCCCCCAGACCCTGCTCGCCAGGACCAGAACTTCGGTGGCGGACCCGGCCGTGGCAGTGCGGGCGGACCCCGGACGCCCCCCTCCCCCCCCCAACAAAAAAAAACCTCAGCCCTCGAGCCTCGAGGCCAGATCGTCGACGGACGGCGACGACGACCGACGACAACGACAAACACGACGGCCACGACGACGACGACGACGACGACGACGACGACGACGACGACGACGACGACGACGACGACGACGACGACTACGATGACGACGACGACCGGCGACGACGACGACGGACGACGGACGACGGATGACGGACGACGGACGACGGATGACGGACGACGGACGACGGACGAAGGACGGACGGACGGACGGACGGCATGGACGGAACGGACGAGCGGCGATGACGACAACGACGACGACGAAGACGACGGACGACGACGGTCGACGACCCACGACGACGCGACGACCACGAACGACGTCGACGCCAAAGGCACAGAAGACGACGACGACACCGACGACGACGCCAACGTCTGGACCCCTTTCTGGGGACGGGTTCTTCGTCCGAGGTCGTTTCCTGACGGCCCCAGGGCCCTGCTAGGGCCCCTGAGGCCAGAAATAACTCCCAACCCTCCGTCGACCTGTCCGACTCGGAGAGGTCTGGGGACGAGGCGGCAGACGACGGATGACGGGCGACGGACGACGGCGGACGACGGCCAACGACGGGCGACGGCGAACGACGGACGACGGACGACGGACGACTAGGACGAGCGACGACGGCGACGGACGACGGACGACGGACGACAGACGCACGACCGACACCAAAAGGCGACGGAGGGCGACGACGACAGCGAGCGATCGCCACCACGCGATGATCGGCGGGCCGGGCGGGCGCCGCTGGGCCCCCGGCGCCAGTCGTAGGAGGACGAAGAGGAAGAGGACGACGAGGGGGAGCGCTCGTCCCTGGGCCTCTTCCTCGCGGGGCACGCTGCGAGGGAGAAGGGAGAAGGGAGGAGGGAGGAGGAGGATAAAGACAGCTGAGGAGGAGGAGGCGGAGGAGGAAGCGGCGTGGATGCCGCGCGTGCCTTACCACCCAGCCACTCGCAAGCTCTGCCACGTCTACTGCATTGCCGCATGTACTCAGCTTGCAACCGGGCTCGCCCTGGTTCGCCAAGCCTTCCGCAGATGTTGCAGCTCTGAAGTTTCAACTGTCAAATCCCGCCATTAGCTCGTCTCTGTCGCAACTACTCCTCACTTCCCGCATTTTTGACTCACCTGGCCTGCCTTTGTACCCCCCCTCCCGACACTGCTGCCGCCACGAACTCGCGGGGAGGTCGGTGGGTAGGTCGGGAAGAGCATCACCCGCCACGCGGGCCCCACGCCACAAGAAGGCGCAAACCTTCCCTCAGCCGGTTGGCATCCCAGGGTGGCCCCCAGTCTCGACCTCGGGTGCCCTTCGACCGCCTCTGCGGGCGAGGGCACCCGGGCGTTGACTGGGGGTCGTCCCGCCGGGATGCCCCGTGGTTGAGGGGAAAGGCCTTTGCGCCATCCCACTTCGGGGTGCATTGCCTCAGCCACGCCACACGCCACGCTCCTCGCCCAGGGCACAGCTACCCCCACTCTTCCTTCTTTTTGTTTGATCACCCCCCCAGGGTCAATCGCCCCTGGGGAGGGGGGATGGCTGCGTCCACAGCTCTGCGTTCTGGAAGGAAGAGGAAAAGGAGAAACAGAACGAGGAAAAGGAAGAGGAGGAGGAGGAGGAGGACGAGAAGGAAGAAGCGGAAGAGGAGGACCACGACAGACAAAGCGGAGCGTTCGTCCAGGGGCCTCTTGGGATAATTGTTTCGCTCATGGGGGGAAACGCGTGTTACCCGGGGGGGCGGGGGGTAACGGTAATGGCGGCCGCGGCGTGCACCCGCCGTGGTGAATCCGAGCCACCAACACATCCATCGCCTGTGTGCACCACAGGCCCCGTGTACACGACAATGCCCAATGCCTGCATGCTAGTCCTCGTGTACGCGACAATTCCCAATGTCTCCGTGAAACACAGCACTGCCTCCGTACACCAGTGCCTCTGTATACCACAGCAGCCGCGTGCACCACAGCACTACGTCCCTGTTCACACCAGGAGTGCCTGCGTATATTGCAGCAGCCGCGTGCGCAATAACGCCTGCGTACACCACGGTGCTTGCGTGCACCAGAATGCTTGTGTACACTACACAACAGCGCCTGTACACCACAGCACCCATGTGTACCACAGCGCTTGTGCACACAACAAGGCCTCCGTGCACCACAACGCTTGTGTGCACACCACAACGCGAAAAGTACCAGCGGGCGCATTCGTAGCTTACGAGCACCACGTTGCGCTTGTGAGCGCAACAATACGCCAGGAGCCTGCTACGAACCAAGGGCGCGACCAAGGAGCGAGGAACGCTTGACCATGGAAAAATCAGGCCCGAAGAAAACGGGACCTGGGGCGCCAACAGGACGAAGTCGCCAGCCATAATCTTTTTCTGACAGGGCCCGCCGAGAAAAACAAAACGGACGTGGGAGATGGGGGAGGGTACGAGGACGTGGGGCATCGGCTGTACGGTAGGTCCGTGTCGTGACGCCTTGGAAATTGGTTTCTAACACCGCGCGGATATCTTGAACGACCTGCGCAACCAGAAGCTCTCGGCACAATATTGAACCATGATTTCGCACCGCGGGTTCGTTTCTGAGAACCCTGGAGACCGAAAGACCCCCCCCTGGGCGAGTCGCAACCTTGGACGTCAGCGCTGGGGTCGCCGCCGCGCCTTCTCTGCGCCAGCGAACTGTCTGCGGCCAGAGGCAACAACGGACGACAACGAGAGCCCGCAGACCGTCCCCCCACCCACAATGGTGCCACCAAGCTGCGAATGCACTGTTATCTTGACTACCTACCAGACCACCCCAACCCAACCCGAAGACCCGGATTTCGGGTTCGGGGGGGTAAGGGTTCCACATGTGTTTTTTCGATGTGTCCCGACCCCCCCCCAACTGGAAATCGAGGGTAAATCTGAGCCTTCGGGTTGGGTTGGGGTGGTTTGGTGGGTGGTGAACAATGGTGCCACCAAACTGCGACTGTACTGTTATCTGGCTCCCTCCCCCTTCCCACCTCCTGCTCCCCCTCCGCCACCTCGTCCTCCTGCCCCTCCTCCTCCTCCTCCTCCTCCCCTCCTCCTCCTCCTCCTTCTCCTCCTCTCCTCCTCCTCCTCCTCCTCCTCCACAAAGCTGCGAAGGCACTGGATCTGGCTCCCTCCCCCTTCCCACCTCTGCCTCCCCCCGCTCCTCCCTTCGTTTCATCCTCCTCATCCTCTAACTCCTCCTACTTTTTTGCTAATCCTCCTCCTCCTCCTCTCCCCACCAAGTGCGAATGCACTGTGATCTGGCTCCCTCCCCCTTCCCACCTCCTGCTCCCCTTCGCCTCCCTCCTCGTCCTCCTCCTCCTCCTCCTCCTCCTCCTCCTCCTCCTCATCCTCTCTTCCTCCCGCCTCCTCCACCAAGCTGCGAATGCACTGTGATCTGGCTCCCCCCTTCCCACTCTGCTCCCCCTCCGCCTCCTCCTGTCCTGCCCCTCCTCCTCCTCCTCCTCCTCTCCTCCTCCTCCTACTCCTCCTCCTCCGCCTCCTCCCCTTCCCTCCTCCTCCTCCTCCCCTCCTACTCAGACCTCCTCTCCTCCTCCTCCTCTCCTCCCCCTCCTCCTCCTCCTCCTCCTCCTCCTCCTCCTCCTCCTCCTCCTCCTCCTCCTCCTCTGTAATAATCCTGCTGCACCGCAGCGCTTGCGTACACCACAACGCCTGTGTACACCACAGCTGCCGCGTGCACCACAGCGCCTGTGTACACCACAGTGCTTCCGTGCATCACAACGCCTGAGAACACCGCAGCGCCAATGCACACTACCAGTAGCCATGTGCACCGCAGCGAACGCGTACGCCACAAAGCCTGCGTGCACCACAGCGCCCGTGTACACCGCAGTGCACTGGCCCTGCGTGCGCGTCGATGTCTGTGTGGGCCGAATCGCCTGTGCACTCCTTACAATGTCCTTTGGAAGGTGCGAAGATTCACGCTTATGCCTGACTTGCATGCGTTACCGTTACGGGGGGGGTTCTGGGGGGGAGGGGGTAAGACGCGTTACCCGTCGGAGCATTAAAAGAACGATCCCCTTCCCCTCGCTTTCGCCGGTTCGTTTTCCTCGAAACCCAGCGGTCCGCCCGGTGGCTTTCCGGCCAGAACTCGGGCCTCAGGCGACCGTTCGGGACCATCCAGGCACCTCCGGAACGCTCTCGGCGAGACGCAGCTGCTGGAGGTCATCCCGAGGCTGGAAAACCGCCGAGATACGACGAAAACATCCGAAAAACCTCGGGCTCCCTCTTACAGTCAAGAACGTTTGCTTAGCGTGTCGCAGCGACGGCCTCGGCGGCACGCTATGCCCTGCAGTGGAGAGCGTGTGACTCTGCTCCGCGGGGCGGGAGGCTCGGAAAGGCTCGGGACGCTGACGCTTGGGAATGGGAGAGTGGACAGCGCGTCGCGCCGAAGCGTGGTGGGCCATAACCAGCGGAGCGACACGCAATGCCCAAGTTCCCGACCGTGTTCCCAAGAGGACCCCCCAGCCATGCTCCGCAAGCCCAGCCCTGGTGCGCTCCTGGTCTTGCGCTTGGCCGTGGCCTCAGCGCGCCTGGCGGCAGGGCGTGCGGCGCGAGGCGCTTCCGCATGCTCCTCGTCGATCGTCGTTGTCCTCGTCGTCCTCCTTCTCCCCTGAGCTTCTGGCGTCGCGATGTTTTCGCAACGGGCGACTTTACCTCGTCTCGGGCCCCAGGGCCCTCACTGATCGATCCCGCTCGAAAAATGCCGCGGGAAGATGGGGGTCCAGGACTCCAGGGGAGTTTGTTCTTACGATGTTGCCATTTTTTCGTGACGTCGGATCTCAGGGTCCTTCTCCTCCTCCTCCTCCTCCTCCAACTGCCCTGTCTCAGCTGGATCGAATCGCGAA